GACACAAAAGCTTTGATAGCTTCATGCCATTATTGAACAAAGTTTCAAAATGGACACCAGCCTAGGAAAAAATAGATATCTGACCCAATAAAATCCAGTTTCAATGGTACAATATTTTCTGGATATATTTTAATTTTGGGATCAGGATCACTCATCCCAGCATTCACACTTCCCTATACTAAATGTGGACTGGAGTCTCATTCAATATTGACTTTGATGAAATTATTCTAAGTTGCAACATTTTACTTCTTCATCTTAATTTTTATGCTTTGACCAAAATTTTTGAGTCATTATCCCATTTTTCTGATTCAGGGATATAGCCAACACAATAGCAACTCTGAAAATATACAAAGGGAAAAATGTGTTACTTTCATTTTACACAAGAGTCCACTGCAGCCCTTGGAGTCCACGGACAACCATTAGGAAGATAATATGAAGGATGTAGCAAGACCTCTATGAAAGTCACCATTTCAAGTATGTGAGTTGTATGGGTTAAAAATTCTTTCTTGCTGTATTTTTTTTTCCTCTAAAACTCAGCACTTAGGAGACAACATGGAACACATTTTGAAAAACAACAATCCAAAGCTGGATTCTCTTAAAGTCTAATCTGGAGCCCTACTTAAATCTATTGCATAATAGTTCATTCTTCTGGAGACTCCAAAGGGATTTGGGGACACTATGATGATGAAAGAAGGAGACATTTTTCTGTGGCAGTAAAGAGTCGTTTTCTAGCTTCCCCTATAATCTCATGATCAACTGCCTCCCCTTTCTGTGTTTCTAATTAGAACATCCACATGGACCAAACACCTGGGAAGTGGCAGCAACAATGGGATCACTCCAGGGCAGGGAATGACCTGAGATGTGCTGACACCTAGCTCACTAACAGACACCACTTTGAACTTTATGCTAAAATGGATAGTGTAATAGTAACAATGACCATACTGGGGGCAGCAGATCTCTGATCTAGGAGTTCAAAGTGCCTCCCAATCATTAACCATATGCAAACGATATCCCCTTCCCTATCTTCTAGGATTTGTAAGAAACACCAGTGTATTGCTTCACTCAAATGATCTTTCCACCAGAGGCCTTTTTGTTTGTTTGTTTGTTTTTTGTTTTTGGTTTTGGTTTTGGGTTTTTTTGCAATACAGGATCTTTTTTTTTTTAATTTATTTTTCAGCGTAACAGAATTCATTGTTTTTGCACCACACGCAGTGTTCCATGCAATACGTGCCCTCCTTAATACCCCCCACCTGGCTCCCCCAACCTCCCACCCCCCGTCCCTTCAAAACCCTCAGATTGTTTTTCAGAGTCCAAAGTCTCTCATGGTTCATCTCCCTTTCCAATTTCCCTGAACTCCCTTCTCTCCATCTCCCCATGTCCTCCATGTTATTTGTTATGCTCCGCAAGTAGGTGAAACCATATGATAATTGACTCTTTCTGCTTGACTTACTTCACTCAGCATAATCTCTTCCAGCCCGTCTATGTTGCTACAAAAGTTGGGTATTCATCCTTTCTGATGGAGCCATAATACTCCATAGTGATGAGGGAGCAGGAGGCTGGCTGAGGACAAAGCAAAAGCTGGCACCTTGCACCCCCTCTCCACCCGCTCCCCTCGGTAATGTCTGTGACATTCCTCAGGCACCCCTGACTGCCATAAGCAAGAAACAAATAGTTAACTTGCAGAAATCACAATCCTACAAGACAGGGGTCTCCCTTGGTTTACAAATGTCCTAGAGATCTACAAAGAAGTTACCTATCAATAGCACAACTTCCAGAGGCAAATAACTCAGTTCCTCAAGCCCTAAATAAAGTTAAATTTATTCTAAACCCAAATCTCACTAACAAAGACACTTGATAGCAGAAATGTGAATGGCTTGCCAAAAGACAACATTGATCAAGCCACAAGGCCTCCAGTATCCCTTGTAGGCCCTCTTTAGCAAATGAAAGTTCCATTGAAACCTCCCTCTCCCTCACCGTCCCCCAACCACAAGGTACATAACCTGCCATCTCTCACAACCGGGGGGCAGCAGCTCTTCCTGCCCATGGGTCCTGTCCCCGTGCTTTAATAAACCACATTTTGCACCAAAGATGTCTCAAGAATTCTTTCTTGGTCATCGGCTCTGGACCTCAGCCTAGGTTCTAGAACTTCATCAATAGTGTATATGGACAACATCTTTTTTATCCATTCATCCATTGAAGGACATCTTGGTTCTTTCCACAGTTTGGTGACCGTGGCCATTGCTGCTATAAACATTGGGGTACAGATGGCCCTTCTTTTCACTACATCTTCATCTTTGCAGTAAATACCCAGTAGTGCAATTGCAGGGTCATGGGGAAGCTCTATTTTTAATTTCTTGAGGAATCCCCACACTGTTCTCCAAAGTGGCTGCACCAACTTGCATTCCCACCAACAGTGTAAGAGGGTTCCCCTTTCTCCACATCCTCTCCAACACATGTTGTTTCCTGTCTTGCTAATTTTGGCCATTCTAACTGGTGTAAGGTGGTATCTCAATGTGGTCTTAATTTGATTCTCCCTGATGGCTAGTGATGATGAACATTTTTTCATGTGTCTGATAGCCATTTGTATGTCTTCATTGGAGAAGTGTCTGTTCATACCTTCTGGGAGAAGATATTTGCAAATGACAGTACAGACAAAAGGTTGATATCCAGGATCTATAAAAAACTTATCAAACTCAACACACACAAAACAGATAATAATATCAAAAAATGGGGGTGCCTGGGTGGCTCAGTGGGTTCAGCCACTGTCTTAGGCTCAGGTCATGATCTCAGTGTCCTGGGATGGAGTCCCGCATCAGGCTCTCTGCTCAGCAGGGAGCCTGCTTCCCTCTCTCTCTCTCTCTGCCTGCCTGTCCGTCTACTTGTGATCTCTCTCTGTCAAATAAATAAATAAAATCTTTTTAAAAAAATGGGCAGAGGCCTTTTTCTTGCCCCACTCCCACCTGCCACAGCTCCACTAGCTCCTCATCACTGACAGCTTTGAGAACTGAGTGAGTAGAATAAGAAGCCAGGTTATGCCAATATAGGGACATAATAACCTACCCTCTATTTAGCTTTCTTGTCCTGGCCCCAGGATTCAGGGCTGGCCACCATCCAATATTGGTTAAGGGATACCACGAGCATCACTATACAGGACCCATATCCCTAAAAGGCCTTAATTTTAGATCTTTGATTTAATTTCCCCAAAAAGGTACATACCTTGGTTTTGTGTGATGTGTTAATTTGTTAAGGCCAACATTTAAATACACACTTTTTATAATTATGCCTCAGAATTTTTTTCATTCACTATATCTGAAATCTCAAAAAATTGAAGTGTCCTGGGTTTCTTGATCTCTGAGAGATGCTAGAGTTGGTGAGCCAAAGTGGCAAGGGGGAAATACTCCTGCTGGCTTTCTATTTCTCCCTCCCATTTAGCAATGCTGACAGAGCCTGAAAACCACATTTATAAATTCCAATGTGTAGACATTTTATTCCCAGTTCAGTTTGGGAAATCTGGACTGAGATTCCTGAGACAAAGCTGATACTGACATTATTTTACTAGGAATAAGGATGAAAGGGAAGCACAAAGCAAATCATGGTTTCTGCATCAAAGCCCGCCCTCTAGAAATGGAATTGCAATCCTATCATCAACCTGGATAGTTCAGATGTCAACCTGAAAATTATAGGGAGTCACTAAAGATAGAGGAGGATTGTGGCTTGTTCAGTACTGCATTTTGGAAAGATCATTGGTAGCAAGTGAAGCAAGAGAGACTGGAGCTTGAGTCTATTGTTCATGTATTTCTAAGTAGAAATCCAAGCCCACTCCACCCAGGGGCATGTTTGAGATCCTGTTCTGAGGTTTCCAGTTACAGCCTTGACAAGACAAATGGCCCCTCCCAGACAAGGCACTTTGTGTGGACACATTGCATCCTCCCAAGGAGAGAAAGCAGCCTGACCCGAGCCTCACTCGCGTTGAACAGTTCTCCCCTGTAGGCCTAACTTAGGTGGGAATAAGAGAGCCAGGAAACTTCTCAGAGGATATCAGGTCCAAGGGACAATGGTAGGGAGTTTCTTATTGGGCAGCTTGAGGGTCTGAAGTCCCATTTTCTGGGACAGTCTGTCCATTTGCTTCCACCATCATTTCCTTATACTGACGCTTGAAGAAGCCAACCTGTGGAGGAGGAAGGAAAAGAAAATTAGGAAACCCAGTGGAAGAGAGGAAAAGAGATGTCTGGGGGGAGAGCGATCACTATTTCTAGAACTCCTACTATTGTTCAAGCACTGCACTAGAATATTTAGCCATACTGTGTCATTTAGATTTTATTTTATTTTTTTTTTTACGATTTGTACATTTTGCTTTATGTAAAGTATCTCAACAGGAAAAAAAAAGAAATCATAAGTAAATGTTGAACTCTAGTTAATCATTTGATTGCTGAATTATCTAGGGTTGGAAAGTACCGTTGCTTACAGCTTACTTTAATAGACATCCAAAAAAATAACAAGAATAACAAGAATTGCTAGATAGTTAATGGATGGATGCAGAGATACATATGCACTTAAGGAAGGTTGGAAAACTATTTATACTGTACTTTCTAGGTGGTGGTTACATGGATTTTCAATGTACAACTTAGTTGACTTTTCTGGATGTATGATGGGCTTTAAAACAAATATTAGGAAAAACTGAATCATACTGAGCATTTGTACCCTACTTTAATCCTCTTCAGTATAACTTGAACATATCTCCATATAATTTATATGTCCATATCATTTTATAGATCTTTTCAATGGAGCCAAGTACTTGCATTTTATAGGTGTTCTAATATTTCTGCCTTGTGGGTAAATACACAAAACTAAAGTTGCTTTTAGATTTTACCAAGATTTGTGAACTGGGTGGAATCACCTTCAGAATGAGAAATCAGGCCCAGCATGGACAAGACACTGCCTATAGACAGACGGAATCGGTGGTGGTGTCAACACCTAATTCAGGCCACTGCTTTTATGTTGTAATTTGCTGTGAAGGGAAACATGTAGTGAGGAAGATGAGAGTAGAAAAGACAGGAAGAAAAGAAAGGACAAGACAGAGAAAGCAATTAAAGGAGACCTGAAAAATCAGATAGAAAAGCACAGATATGGGAGACAGTTGGGGACCAGTGATGTCATAGATGAAAGGGGATGTCTCACATGCAATGACTTGCCAAGACTGTGCACCTATACCTAAGCTGAGCTCTTTCTTACGTTATGGAAATAATAGGATCAAATTGCTGATGGTGTCAAGAGCAGGATGGAAACACTCACCTTGTACAGGATGGCTGTGATGAGAGCCAACAGCAGCAGTCCTCCCACAGAGCTGCCCACAATGATGGGGATAGGATCGTAGACCTCATACTTCTCCAGCACCGTCTCCATCTGGAGTGGAGATGACCTTATCAGAAAGTATCAGAACTCTTCCTTTCCCAGACTCTTTCTCGGTTCACCAAACTTTAACTCCCTCCCCTCCTTCCCTTTCTCCAAAGGGGGGATATAGAAACACTCATGGGCTTAGGGACAACTCTCCTGCTGATAGACCTTCATCCTTCCTCCCTCCAGGCTTCTGAGCCTCCCACACAGCACCATGGATTTAACATTAGGAGCCCTCCTACTTACAGCCTGGCCACTCCTACCACACAGTCACTACCTGAGTTCTCAAGAATGCCTCCTGTCCTGGAAGCTGGGAATACACAGATCTGTTGAGCGTGATTTCAGCCACAGTCATTACCAATACCTTCTTCTGCAATGTCTGCAATACACAGGGACAGAGCTGGGGAACTAGCCTGAGGAAAACCCTCAGAGTTCGAGAACTCTCCTGACTTGAGGATGGGCACAGACATATCTGGTACCACCCAAATCCAGGGGAGGGACTCTGCTGTTGGACCCACGCACCTGGCTGACCCAGCCAAAGTTGAGTTTGCCCTTCAGGATGAAGTCAAGTTCCTCCTGAATGCCAAAAGTGGGGAGGTCACAGTGGAACTTCAGGCAGTCAGCAATGGAGCAGTTCTAGGGACAGGAGAAGAATGAAGCTGAGGAGGCAAGAACCACCAGAAAAAGGAAGTCTGTCAGGTTTGGGTTGGAGAATAGATGAACAAATATAGGACATATATAAAGATCTCCAACCTAGCAATTGCATTTCCCTATATCCCCCATTGGGCAGCTGGTCCTGCAATGGGAATCCAGGGTCTTTCTCACCAGTACAAGACTCCCTGGAATCTGGGTCATGAAGTCAGGATGCTGGGGAGGTACCCTCTCCGACACACAGGAGAGATTCTGGTGTGAGAGAGAAACAGCCACAGAATGATCAACATTTCACTGGTAAGAGGATGTGAGGCACTATAGGATCAGACTCTGGAGAGTTAGGAAAGGCAAGTAGACACCTGAGAAGGGGCCACCACAGCCTCATCCCACACAGCCATTCCATTCAGCAGGATAGGAACCCAGAAATTAATGCTGATGGTCACATCTCGCTGACTCAGGTTATTCACCTGCAGAAAATTGAGACAACGTTATTGTGCTCCCAGAAGAATCCAAAATACCACTTCATTCCTGGATATAGCCCTCAGCTCCTCATTCTCTCTCCCACCAGCTCCCAACATTAGCAGCACCATGGGAGGGAAGATATGGACACTCCCTGGCTTCTCACACGATAACGATGCTCAGCTTCTTTCTTGCTCTTCTCATCAGAAGTTGAAAAGTTGAAGTACTTTGTAGACTCTTCCTGCCTGGAGAGAGACGGCTTGTTGGTGAGAAACACTCCCAGAGCCATCCTCAGCTGTGCCCCTGTCTGATGCCAAGGGCTCTGTCGGGCCCCCAGCAGATAATCCCATGAAAGAATTATGATCCCCACATGCTTCTGCAGCCTCAGCTTCAACTCTTCTCCTATGGCATTTGCCCCAGTCACCCAGAACTGCTAGCTCGTCCTTTGATACCCTGGCTCTTTCACATCCCCATAGCTTTGTTCAAGTTCTTTCTTTTGCTTGGAACACCCTTACCCCTCCCCTTCTGGAAATGTTCCCTTAAAGGCCCAACTTAAACATGACCTCTCATAACATTTAAACATTTTCCCATGGGGGGAAAAAAAGGTGTTCACATGACTTTCTCCTCTACTAGGTATATGGTTGGCATCTGGCAATGCTTGCAGAGGCTGATGCCAGAACAAATAAGCCTAAGGGGACTCAAGGGAATCATGGTTGGATCACTCAGGAAAAAATGCAGTGCAAGCCCCTCCACGATGGAATGAAGAAAAAAGATGTGGCCATCCTGGGAAGTCAAGTAAGTGTGAGAAAGGATGGTGCATAAACACAAGCCCCTGGAGTGGTCACAAATGTTCCAGCCTCAGGTGGCTTTCTGTGCATCCATCCTTCCTTCCATCCATCCATCGCCTGCTTCAGTAAACATTTACCCTATATGTGGCTGTGTATTTGGCTCTGGAGAGTCAACAGTTAACAAGCCATAATCCTTTCCTTCCCAGAGTTAACATCTTAGGTCTCAGTGGAATCAAGCAAACAAGCAGGGGTGCTGCACATTTCACCCGTATGTAGTGTACAGAAGCCTGGCCAGCCATACAGAAATTCCAGGGGCCCCCACAGTTTCCCACAAATGTCATGATTAAAAACACAGGCTTGGAACCAGACCATCTGACATTTCTGTCTACCACTTCCTACCCAAGTAACCCAAGGTAAGTTACTTAACCTCTGTGGTTTCTTCCTGTATAACCTGAGGTTGCTAATAATAGTGCCTGTGATAGAGTTGTGATGACATCTGCAGCAATGATATAAATGTTAGAATTTATATTTTCCCTTACTGTGTTAACCTTTATGGTTTTCACTCCAACCCTTTCCCTCTCTGCTTCAGTTTTCTCACTTTAAAATCTTCCAGTTCTAACACTCTTCAAATTTGAGTAAATCACTCGTCTTCCCCAATCCTTGCAATGGCATAGTAGCATATGGACATGAGCACAAGCTCTGGAGCCAGACCATTTGACTTTGATTCCTGGTTCTGTCACTTACCAGCTAACTGAAAAGAATAAGTTACTTAACC